ACCTGAAGTACACTATATATCTGATTTATACCAATTGTAGGATATGTTCAGCCTGGCTTTGAAAAATGGTTTCATTTAATAAATATTCAAAGGGTTGTTACGATCTAAATAAATTTGATCGACGATAATGAGTTTGAACAGCACATCCCGTCCTTTGTTACCGAACCACTTATATTTTTTCCTGTTTCATTCGCACTTGAAATGACATTGTTTTCAAAATCGATCTAAACAAAATTCCTTCCAAAACGACAAAGAAAGACACAGACTCACACATCAACCTTTTTTTCAGTATTTTTCTATACAGTCCACAAAAACAATATTCGTTCCTACCAATGGGCCGACACACACCTATGTAGTGACACGAAGTTTACTTCTTTTAATCAGTTTGAAGGGCCCTTCATCTACAGCTACATGTTCTATTCAAAGGGTCCTTACTAGTAATGGGTCAAAACATGGGCTACTTATTATAATTAAAACAGAACGTTGTTTAAGAAACCATGTTCTAAGCCTTATAAACAACACTCACACCTAATTTCTCAGCAACGTATAAACATCCAACATATTTTGCTGTTTACAACGTCAAGAAGGCAGAAAGCACAGACCTAGAAAACCGGCAACTTCCACTGGTCAAGCACCTGAAGCACTGTAAAGCTGTTCTTGAATTAGTATGTTGCCTGCTTTAAAACAACCTGACTCTTAAAAGTAAGCCATCCGTAATACGGAGTGAAAATATTTGATTGAAAGGATTGAAATTGTCACTCCTTACCTTACATGTATATATTTTTCGATCTGCTCCAAAGTCAAATGCCTGACTTGCTACATGTTTGTCTTGCTTCATACAGCACCGATAGATATACAGATGTAAACAAACAGCTGACTTTCCTTCTCGCCCATGTGCACTTATCCGGAACACAGGAACAGACAGGAAGCCCGAGCGATTTATAGCTTTCTAGGGTTTTTGAACCGTTTTGGTCTGAAAACAGAACTGATAATGAACGAATATTCCTGCTGTTATACTACTACATGAGAAATTTCTGCAATCTGATTGGCTTAGAGCAGTGGTATTTCAGCTTAATTTGAAATACCTACATGTGAAAATTACAAACCTTTTGCGGGTAGTAGTATAAACAAATAATAGCATGATTCGTACGTGATATTTGTTACAAATACCATGCACTCGTGATATTTCAAAATTGTGTAAAATTTCACTCGCCTAACGGCTCGTGAAATTAGGTATAACAATTTTGAAATATCACTCGTGGTATTTACGCCAAATATCACTACAAATCACGCTATTACCTATACAAATACCAAAGATCGAAATATTGATTATACCACTCCCATGATTGACACAAAGACGATGCATTCCTTATGACAAGAGCGCTATTCATCCTTATGCTCAAATTAAAAAATAATTAATCGGCTCCTGTTAATCTAAAGGAGTGACGAGATCAAGTAGCGAAAAGGGAATAGAAACAACTCAACAGGAAACAATGCAAAGAGTCAGTCAGTAATGTATTAGAATTTAAAACCAGTTAACGCCACCGTTTATTTTATTTACGATAATAGACTTTTATTTGACAATCGAGGAACAAATTTCAATCACGACATTAAACACCCCGAAAGTTACTTGGCATGCAGAGTGCTGATTCATTGCTGTCCTCCAATCAACTCCTCCTTCAGTCTCTTGATTACGTAAAACGGCCAGCAGTTATTTAAAGGATCAAATTCCGGTCTAATCGTGACGCCAAACTTCCGAAAGGAAAAAAAAACACTGTTTCTTCAAATACTCTTACTAGCCCCGCCCTGTTATCTTTGATTGGCACTAGTGGCGTTTTGTTCCTTCTCGGGGCCATTTAAACAACAAGGCCTCAGTGGGCGAGGGATTCTAAGTTGGAAACTCTAAAGGTATGAATCTTTTAAACTTTTGTAAACCGTTTCTGGTATTTCTTAGATTGCTGAAAAGCTAACATTTTCCCTTTCTTTTCTCTCCTAACAGGAACATCACCTTCAACGTGCATTTTGATCCACCAACTTGTAAGATGGGCTCCTGCTTGTAAGTACTTCTTGTTAACTGTAATTGAAAATATGCCTTAACATGAAACCAACCACATTTTACTACTAGTAACGCTTAGCAAATAAGCCTTCCTATGGTATCTTGCTCCGAATTTATTTGACACTATTCAGTAAATTGAGGTTAACCAGCTCCGCCAACATTTTAAATTCTCCAATTAGGAGGATGAATTTAGGTCCTCTTTAAATAGATTCGCGTTTTTTCGAACTGCTTGGCTTTTAAACTACAACTCGCTTAAAATGGCAAATTAAGGTGAAATTTTGAGTGGAGTCAGTAGAATTCTGTGGGACCGCTCGCAAGTTTGGAAAGAGAAAGAATGAGTCGTTGTGATGTATTTACTAGGGACCTTAAGCAAGGACGACGACGACGCCAGTGAAAATGTCGGTAAAAAAATAAATTTGCTTTCTTTCAAACTTAATCGCGTCTGTTTGGATCCGCTCAAGATGTCAAATGCAGACAACTTTTCCTGGAGTTGAATTCTTAAGAATTTTATTCAGGTTCAAAAAGATGAAGGAAAATTCGTCGTCGTAAAGTTCCACGTCCTCCATAAGACTTCAAATTAGGAGGTTTCACGACGTAGTCGTGCAGTGGAAAAACAAAAAATGAACAAACAAAGAAATGTACTAAAAAGCGTGATGCATGTGCAGAACTGTTGTTTTGATCATTAAACCTATTTGTTTTTTTGAAGTCGTCGTTGTGGTCGTCGTCGTAACGTAGTTGCTTAAGCTCCCTACTTCCTTCAAAATAGCGTGGCATAAGAAAATTTTACGTCTAGGTCTTGCAGAGATGGCCCTGAAGAAATGTAACAAAACTGAAGCGTTCTGGACGTGCAAACTTTGTTGTTTTTTCCTCGTTGCCGTCGAATCGAATTCGTCGCCGTTGCTAAAGCCCACCGGATTTATCGATGTACAGGGTGTTTCAAAAGTTCGTTCCGATTTTTTTCTTCACTTAAATTTCAATGATTATTAAAGATAACTTTTGTAATCCTAAGCATGTTATTCATTATTCATTTAACATTGACTAACTTAAATATTAGCAACCAGAATGTCTTCCTTTATGATTTCTGACATTTTCTAAGCGGTGAGGTATAGAATGTACGAGCTCGCATAGTGTGTCTAAATTCACAATTTTCCAGGTGAAGTGTAGTCGCTGTCTTAGCTAGTCCAGTGTTTTGGGGGCTGGATCTTTGTATGTTGTCTCATCAACGATAATCCAGATGGTTACTAGAGAGTTCGCATCACGTGAGTTTGCCGGCCGGTCGTCCTTTGGTATAAATTTTGCAAATTCTTCTGATGCCATGCCTGCATGAAGTGTGCACCGCCTTTTTTCTCTTCAAGGCTTTCCAACCTTTGTTGGTCACATGCATATCTCCATACTGTTGTGCTCGAAACTTTGATATTGTGAAGTTGAAGTTTTCTTTTTACCTTTCAGTCTTGTTGAATTATTACGCATATACTTACAGCTTTTTCGATAACATTTTTCACACAGTTTGTAAAAAAAACCGGCCATCTACTCCTTGGTTTGTCTTGTAAGGTCCTTAATTTTGACCACTTGTTCTCTCATCGTTCAGACTTCTTCAACAATTTGACAATTTCTTTGACTAAATGGACAGAGTACCGTAAAAATAGATGCCTGAGCTCTAGCACAAACAGTGTACGCCATCATTTTCGTGAAAGAGTAGAGAAAACAAAGGAAAACTCCAAAAAAACGAAAATAGAAAACCTACAAAATGGGCAGGGAAAAATATGGCGGGAAAAAATTCGCGTACGTGCACATTTGGGGAAAAAATTTAAAAAATTTCATAATTTCTTGAAATTCTAGTTTGAAATTGCTTTGAACGGTTATTTAGATAAATTTCCTACCTGAATCAGTTTACATTTGCCTAAGGAAGCATTAAATGCTTAGCGCAAAATACAATTTACAATCGGAACGAACTTTTGAAACACCCTGTAAGTAATGTGTTGTGGAAAACGGTGAGTAATTCCTGAAACATTAGCGAGATTAAGATTCACGTTTACGCCAAACGGCAGACGTGAATTTGTACCACGTGACCAAGTTTTCCCCTTATTTTTCGCCTACTCTTTATTGCTTCTACGCAAAATTGAGTAGTTTTATGCCAGTTTTAACCATAGGAATCGTGCTGGACAGTTTTTATCTGCTGGTTTTCTATTCTGAGAAATTCTCAGCTTGAGTCTGAATTTTGCCGTTTGCGGTAAATGGAATCTTAATCTCTCTATTTATGAATCCGAAAGAATCGCTCCCTTAAACTATGCTTGCGACTATGTTTTCCCTCCCCTGTCTTAGTAGGGAAGCCGAGGGAGATCTTCTGAGATGTACACTCCATTCTTGAGATTTTTATTCTCTGTGCTTAGTATCTCACACTCCTCTGTTCCTAAGACCTCAGGGAGCTGAGCAATTTTGGGGCGAGGGATTCCATCACTGAGCGAATCGAACATCGAACCCTGTCCCTGTTCAAGCTTGATGGCTCGCACATCGTCGTTATTAATAAGTGCATAAATATACAAACAAAGCACAAAATAAAAGAAAGAAGAAAAAAGAAAAGTAATAAACGCAAGCTTAACATGACAGTGCAAGTGATCAGAAAAAACTCTTTTGACTCGAGTTCATGTTACACCAACATTTTTAATCGAGTGCAAGATACATAAGAGAGCTATTTTGTTATTGATTATCGAAAGTTACATTATTGAGAAAAGGAAGGGGTAACGTCTCATCCGGATTGTGTTCTGGTTAAATTTAAACGAATGGCAACAAGTTCTTTACCAGAACCTGCCTTCTATTGGCATGTTCCTCTACTGGATTTTAATATCAACCCTGTACACCGACAAAAGCGTAATAAAGATTATTCTATATTCTACATTTAAAAAAAATAATGTCCCTTTTTTTTTTCATAATTAGACCCCGCACAATGGCTGACCTTGAAATTGCATTGATTGCGGACTCGGATGAAAGAAATGCGTTATGGGAAGAATATTACTTTACAAGATGGGGAATGTTAGCCAACAAACACCGCCAATCCATAATGGAAGCATTTTGGAATGATCCAGGTGTTGCTAAAATTGATGAACTGCTGAAAGATAACGAAGTATATCGAAAAATGATCCAAACTAGTGGTCAAGCCGCCGCCAGCAAGGCAATGGTGTCTGCCGTGAACCGACTTGTCGCTCAGGAAGTAGTGAAAAGTACCATTGGAGGAGCTGTAAGAGAAGGTGGAAGAAGAGGCGCTGTTTTTGCCATTCAAGAAACCGCCGGCCTTGCAGCCGCCCGAGGAGCAAATGTCGCTCTTACAGGGGTCAAAGCTGCAGCTTCCCTTGGACCAGCAATTTCCTCAGTTGTAGGAGAGCAGGTAGCTAGATATGCTGGAGACAAATTAGGAGTTACTAATCATCATGCTAAGAATGCTCTTAATGTCGGTGGTGGGATTGTGGGAGGTGCCATTGCTGGCGCCTTTGTGGGAGGTCCTATTGGTGCCCTTGCAGGTGCTGGGGTTGGGGTCGTTAATTGGGGGGTGGGAGAAGCGGTAAGTGCTCTCGCGAGGACCACTAAAGGTCCGAAAGATAATTGGTGTTACTGTGAAATTGGATCGTTGGAGGGTAGTAGAACCCAATTATGTTTTGGTACCTACAATTCGGGTGACACTATGTATTGGAAAACTTACTGGAACGAGTACAAAAATGAAAATTCGAATTGGGAGATGAGCGCAGGACAGCGACAGGAGGGTTCCTTTCAATTATGCATTTGGGTAGGGGGAAGGGTGATCAAACATTTGGATGTTGTTTATTACAGGGATCGAATTCGTGTCGTAAAAAAAAGAGGAACCTATTACGTACTCCATTGCAAAGGTCAATTTCACCCGGACGAAGAGTCTGGTACAACAAAAATTTACACAAAGAAGTAATACAGAAGCATTTTACACGGACTGGGAATAAACTTTTCTTTCGAAAGTTTTTCACTTACTAAATATTTTTTATTTTGATACGAGGTTTTATTTCCAGCGACTTGGAATTTCCACCCGAATATCAACAAAGCAGACAATTTCAATAGTCTTCTCGTTTCATGTTTAAACATAATACGATGATTAGCGCGGTCGAACAAGGATAGTTTACTTTTCTTTTCAATTGTAGTTACAAATTCGAAAGCTTTTCAAACTGGCAATTTTCCATTGAAATTGTTATTAGTTCTCGCTTTGTTCGGCAGTCAAAGCTCTTCTTGCGATCACTCTTGTAAGCGACGAGGTCTGAATAAGACCTTGGCATTGTGAAACCCGTTTGAATTGTGACTAAAACGCTGTAATTGAAAAAACTCTCGTAAGCGACCGCGACCACTTTGGTGAATTACTGCCTATTCAGTACCCCCAGGTCTTTCCCTTCGTCTTTACGCTCTCGTAAGCGACCCCTTAGTCACCACATGAATAAAAGCACTAATAATCCTGGACCGTAATTTTAGGGTACTACATAGTATGGGCGCTAATGGCTAGTTGCTATGACTCGTCAACTTCGCATATGAAAAAAATAAATAAATAAAAAAGAACCAATATAATTTTGTTTCCCCTAAATGTATTGGTATATTAGCAAAAAAGGCCAAGCTCTCGTAAGCGAGCGTATAGATTAATAGAAAAACAAAACTTACAACTTTATCCAAGTAAACGTAAAGTAATACTATATATCACATGTCTCTCGTTAATTTCGTTAAAAAAGTGGTTGGTATAACCAAGCTTACCGTAGTCCCATTATACATTTTGTGCACAGATGTATCATTGTAGTTGAAGCTTTAAAAGTTATAGTTTAAGTGAAAATTAAAAGAGGTTTTCCTTTTACTGCCATTTAAAAAAGTGAAGAGGGAGGAGGGCGCTTATTAGAGTGTGGGCGCTTATTCGAGGAAATACGGTACACCTGTGTGATTTTAAGCATTGGCATTCGGTCCTGAACACCATAAGAGAAAAAAAACCAAAAACTGTAAAAACACTGCTCTAAACGAGACGATGAGCATCCTCGCCCTTTCGATTGGAGTTCCCGCTAGAACGTGCTCTTACCTTGCAGTGGTTGCTAATAGTATCTACAGTTTCCTACTTATACATTAGGCGATATGAACTTGTACCCTTTCTCTCTTCACTATAGCGTTTCTGTGCATAGGACCAGTTGTATAATTGCGAGCAGAATAGTTTTGTAGCTGAGTCTTCGGTAACTGCGTTAAAGTTATGAGCACTACTGAGTAGCACCATTTTTGTGTGTATGAAAATGTACAGGCCAGGTTACTTTTTCTCGTTACTTATTACATCTAGTTTTTAAGGAGATATCGATTCTCATCGATATCTTGTGGAGTAAAAATTAATTATTTATCGCTCGATTGGATAAAAGGGTTTAAAACCCAGTTTAACAGCAGTCGACTCGGGGTCGTAGCCAGACGTTTGGTAAAGACGAGGCAAGAACTGTGATTGTCGGAAGTGCACCAAGCCACCGAACGACTAGGAGGGAAATTTGAGGCATGCTCCACAGAACATTCTTCAAAATTCAATTCAAAACATTGATCTTGTTCAGTTAGCTAGGGAATACTTTAGATGAAAAATCTAGACGAGACAAGTGCCTCGCCTCTTGCTACTAGCTACGGCCCTGGAACAGTTGTAATCACAACAGTAAACGGAACAGTAAACTATTTGTGTGTCGTTTTTTAAAAAACAGGCGTAATAATCGTCCATGCGCATCACCTAAACCTTTGTTTACTTTAAACATAAGCTCTTTTGTATCACTGGATTTTCAGGTGTCGAATAAAGAGTCTGAGTGAAATATTTGTACACTTTTTAACTGTTGAGAGTCAGTGTCCTGGATGTAATGGTAGTTTCTGTTGTAGTTATTGGTCAGACTAAAATCTACTACATTCCAAACATTAACATTGACGGGGCATTTTCGGCAGACATTTTGAAACAGAATTTTCCCCTAGAGGGTACCAATTCATTTTCTTCATGACAGGTTCTGTTTTTTTTAGTTGAACATGGCTAGAAAGTTGCCAACTGGGATTCTGGTTTTGGAGCGACCTAAAGAAAGATTTCCAGACTGAGCAAAGTGCAAAGGCTAATTAGTCCCTCTCTCATCAAAGTCATCTGTTTGTTTAGATTTACGTTGAGAACATTTCAAATGCTACTGGAATGAGGGCAATAACAGATAAACAACACTAGGGGAGAAAGTGGCTCAGTAACAACGGAATATCATGCTGTTCAAAACTCATAACCCTCGATCAAAGCGTGAAAGGAAGTACGTTCAAAAAATTTACCATACGTTTGAGATAGCAACACATTTTACTCGAATTAACAGATCGTAAAACAATTTTAAAAAACGCAATGTTTAGAATGTCATCAATGTATTCAAAGCAAACGAACAATAAGTCACGCCCTCATTGACGAAAGAAAGTGACTACCATGCTCTAAATCCAAAAGATCTGTTTCAGCCCCAAAGTGCTGATTCAGCTCTATAGCCCCTGGAGCCAACCTCGTCCCCAGGGCTTTTCCCTTAAAAAATGCCCACCCATTTTTTAAGGGAAAAGCCCTGGGGACGAGGTTGCCCTGGAGCTGATTTGACCCTTCGTGGCGCCATTTTGTCAATTTGGTCTAAATCGACCCCAATAAAGGCCATTGCAGCCTCATCGAAAACCGTTTTGGCCCACAAGAGAAATTGTTTCAGCCATGTGATGCGTATCGGCCCTTTCACTAGAGCCATTTCTACTCAAAAAACATGAAAAAATAGAGACATTTCGGGTTTTAGTCTAGTTGGCCCCAATTTAGGGCTGACTTGGCTTATACTAATAGAGCTGTTTAGACCCCATGACAACGCAAAATGGACCGACCACTAGAACCAACACCGATATGAAGAATATATGTTCATCTAATCAGTGTCTAGTCGGAAGCATTAGTTCCTAATCACTGAGGACGGGCCGCTTTATCTTTATCATGGAGAGCTTCGATAAAGGGTTTGTAGTTCGAAAGAACAAGTTAAGACATGGCTAGAGGCAAACAAGTTTACACAAGCAACGGTGGAAAGAGCCCTCAGGTAAGTCGCCTTGAGTCGCAACGATTTCTTAAATGGCGCATATTGGTCCGAAGATCGTTGTTCTGGATCTGTCCATTTTAATATAGTTGATTTTCTAGACGGAGACAGGGGCCCATCATGGAGATGATCATGATATGGTTACAGTGTATGAGGACGACAAAGAATGCCGTTTTTATTTTCCCCATTTAAAAGGATCAGGTAAAGGCAGAGGCCGAGGAAAACCAGGTGAGAACATTTTGTAGGTTATTGTAATTTTGCTTTCCCGCCAAGACATAATGATAGCGCGGGGCTTGGATTCGAAAATATCCCATAAATCCCTGCACACTACCAAACTGCGCGCGCAAGTTTGAACTGTTTAGGCGGGCTTCCATTCAATTCAACGGTGAAGTCAAGGGACGCTCAATATTTTAAGCGAATTTCAGTTTGATTTTCACTAAACTCAGTGATTTTACTCCAGGCGAGAGATAGATCGTAGATAGAAGATTCTTATCAAGATAATTGCCATGTTTTGTCTCATTTGTTTCGTAAAGGATCGAAGGATTGCATCGCCGTTTAACAGGTTTGTCATGTGCAGTGCTACATTAAAACTGATAGAATGAATTGGCAATTTCAGACTATTTTGGAATCAGACAAGTTTTGCAGATAACAGTTTGTACTTAAGTGATAAATAGATCAGCAACTTTTGTGAGTTTCCATGGACATAGTTGAAGAGAGACAATTTTGTTTACTCAGCTGCATCTTTTGACTCAACTGCAAATCAGTTCCAATAATATATATATTTCAAGTTTCTTTATTTTTCCACAAATTTTTAATAGAATGTTTGGTTGCTACATTTACATGTACATAGTAAGTGATCAAGGTAATATAACATCACTGTTGTGGCTGTCTTTCATAACTACAAGTTGGTTTTGCTGTACATTTCTATTTTTTTTCCTCAAATAACGATTTCGTAGGGTGATCAAGGTATATTCCAGTTAGGTGCGAAGCTTTGACGCTGAGGAATCCTAATTCTAGGCATTTATTGATCACTTTTATACAGTAGACATGAAGCTTTGAACAAAAATAAGGTTCATTGTCATTTGGTTTTCAGGTATACAGATACATGTGGGAGTCATTTATGTACAAATTTACATGTTTCCTCGAGAAAGTTTTGTATGTTTATGCATGACTGGGAACTTGTAGGCAGCATACAGTGTCGATGTTACCAGTGCTACATGTACATTAAAACTGATAGAGTCAATTACAACAATTTCAGACTGTTTTAACATCAAACCAGTTTTGCAGATAACAGTTTGTAATTAAGTAATAAATCAGCAACTTAACAAGTTTCCATGGACATAGTTGAAGAAAGACTATTTTGTTTTCTCAGCTGCATCTTTTGACCTTAACTGAAAATCAGTTCCAATAATATTTCAAGTTTCTTTATTTTTCGACAAATTTTTAATAGAATGTTTGGCTGCTACATGTACATGTACATAGTAAGTGATCAAGGTATATATATATGCCAGTTAGGTGCAAAGCTTTATGCTGAGGAATCCTTTCCGTTATGCATTGATTGATCACTTTGCAGTAGAGTGCAATGCTTAGAATGATCAATGGTACATTTCTATTTTTTTTCCTCAAATAACGATTTAGTAAGGTGATCAAGGTACTGTATATTCTAGTTAGGTGCGAAGCTTCATACTAGGAAATCCTAAAATTTTCTAGGCATTGATTGATCACTTTACAGTAGACATAAAGCTCAGAAATTATATAAAAATAAGTTATTAAGTTTGTACAAATTTACATGTTTCCTCCAGAAAGGTTTGCATGTTCATGGCCATGACTGGGAACTTGTAGGCAAATTTTCGCATCACAG